TTTAGAAAATTTATATTATGAGAAAAATTTCTAGAGAATTCTATAGTCAGTTGTGAAGAGATATTATATTGTAAAATTTGTTATGAAGAAAAAGAGATTGATCTAAAAGTGTAAACAAAGAAGCTCTAGTTAAATAAATTTAATCTATTAATCTTGTATTCGTTCCTTTTAGGCCATTTACATCAATTATGTTTAGCAAACCACAGTTTACATAAAAGGCATATTTGAGATCTGTGGAATTTGGTAATTTGGAATCTAGTTTGTCATCATCTGAATTATGGTGACAACCAGGATATGCTATGTAAGTATGTTGTTTTTTTGAAGGAGAACAGGGGTCTTGCAATAGATTTTGTCTATTAAAATGATGAAAAAAAGCAAGATGCGGTTGAGTGGAAATTTTAATTAAACATCCAATGATTATTTGTTGATAAGTGTTATCCCAGAAAGTTGTCTAATTTATCTTTTTATGATTATGGTCTGGAATGGAAACAACAAACTCAGATAAATGCGAAATGTTTGATGCAAATTGTGGTAATAGTCTATTAATATAAACAGGATTTTCAATAACTTTTTATTGTAATCTGAGATACCAATTTGGAAGTTTGCTTATTTGAAAAAGAGATCCAAAGGTCTTATGTTTGAGATCACTATATGGTATAAGATAATGGCCTTTACCAACTATTAATTGTTCAAAAAATATAATGTGACGGATAATTAAGATTTTCAGGTCCTGACTTTTAATAAAAATAATATTAGACAAAGGAGTTTGACCCCCTTTAATATGGAATAAATCATTTGTCAGCTAAGTGAAATTGATGTTCAAATGCTGTAAATTATTTAGAAGAGCTTTTAAAAAACTGGAGTTTTTTGATGAAGAATTTAATAAGTTTCAAGAAATAAGTGGATTGTCATATAAATAATGTTGAAATAGAATTTGTCTAAGACGAATTCTGAAGGTAGTAGTTGTGAGATTATTTTGGTTGATCAGTTTGGTGAAGTGATCATATTTTGCCTGCGTTTGAATATCATAAAAATCTTTGTAAGTATATGTTAAATTGTGTCTAAATATGCTGTTTGGTAAATATTTGTTCATTCTAAGTTTGTATTTGATAACAGATCTAATTGGTGCATATAATCTGCTATACTCTGCTTTAGAAAGAAGAGTTAATTGTGATCTATATTCTAGTCTTGGAATAAGAACAGCGTTGTTTAAATATAAAACCATTTTGTCGGTCATGAGTTTAAATTTAATTTTGAGAACAAAGTCATCGATAAAATCTTTAAGTTGGTTGATGATGAATTTTTTGTTATTGTCAATACTAATCCAAACTTCTAAGTATCTAACCGATTCAGATCTGTAATATGTTGAGACACAAATCGATTTTCTGGTAGTAGGAAGATTAAAAGTAATATTTTGATTTTAATTTGGTAATGTTGAAATTACAAAAGATTTTTCTAAGTTTACTTGAATATCATTTAATTAATAAAAAGTATCAGCTATATCAATAATCTGTTTGAGATTAGAAATGTCATTTGAGATCTAAGTGGTATCATCCATGTAAGCAGTAGTAGAAATATTAACAGAGTCTGATATTGGAGTAGGATTAATAAGATTAGGAAACCAAGTTTGAGACAAGTTGTATCCTAGATTCGATTTTTGGATTTTATATAATAAAGGGTCATAGTATATGATCCATAAGAGAGGAGAGATGATTTCACCTTAGTCAATACCAACTAGAACGTCATATTCTGGTGACAATCCATATTGTGTATAAACTCTATTCTTCCTGTTTGTAAAAGATTGGTGATGATTAAAGATGAGAACTGTAATTAATATGTTGCAACTTTTAATGTTGCAACTTACATTGCAATTAGTTTTAACCTATATATGTTGCAACTAATTTTAGCTTATATTGCAATATTTTGTAAATTTGAAATCAATTACTGTATCATCTTTAGTGATGATATTGATGAAATTAATAGGAATTTTAAGCTGAAACATGGCTTTCTTAAGCATCTAAATGTTTACTTTATTGTATGCTTTAGACATATCTTAAAATAGAATGAATAGATTTTGGATAGGAGTATGATTCTTCAAAAGTTTTTTCTTCGAGCCTCAGATCTAGATAATTCCAGAATATTATTAACTATATAAAGTGGATTTATGGTTGAATTATGTGGAAGGCCTGCAAAGTTTAATCCTTTAAGGATTTAATGTTCTGTATATATTTTGGATAATCGATTCGTTAAAAATTTGACGTAAATTTTTTTTGCTGTTTCTAAAAGAGTAATTGGCCTAGTATTATTGAGATCATATTGCCATGACTTGGGTTTGGATATTGGATAAATATAAGCTAATTTCCAACCTGCGGGAATGTGCAGAATTGTACAAATGTGAAAAATCTTGAAAAGCAATTTGAAAGCTTTAGTATAAAAATGTTTGATGAGTTCATAAGTAATGCTGAAGGTCTAGCAGCTTTATCGTTTAGAAAAGAGTTGATTAGTTGAATCTGTTCATTAAAATCAGGAAGGTCTAAGAGTGAGGAGTAGCAATTCTCATCAATATAGTCTAAACTATTGTAGTTTTGTTGCCATAGATTTCAGGAAGGATGTGATTCTTTTTTTGAGTTTACTGAATTGGTTATTTTTTGAAAATGATCACTGGTATGTGAAAGAACATTAGAGGAGTCAAGTTCTAAGTATGATTGATTATATTCATCTTTGATGAGTACTCTATCCAGTATAATTGATGTTTTTCTTCTTTCGAGACAGGAATTGATCATTTTTAATAGATTATCAGTAAAATTAAATTGTCTAATTTAGTCAAGAATTTGTTTCATGTTTCTTTAGAAGTTTTATCATACAGAAATTTGGCTTTAGACATTTTTTTTTGTTTGAACAAGGCATTAGATTTCTGATGGAAGATATTATTTTTGTAGAAAAAAGAGACTAATGAAGTATGATCAGATGCGTAATTATATGAGTAAGTGTTTAAAGAAGTTGAAAAGGTAAGACCATGTGTAAGGGAAGAGGAGGAGAAAAGATAGTCAAGGGAAGAGAAAGAGTTTGTAGAAAAGAAGGTTGATGTATAGGATTGATTGAAGATTTTTAAGTTGTTTATTAAGCCAAGATTTTTGAGTTAAGTGAGAAGGTATTGATATCTTTTTTATCTTGATGAAGAATATTTGCATTTGATATCAATGTTAAAATCACCTATAACAATATAATGATAATTTTTTGATTTGGCTTCTAAGATTAGATCAAGAATCTTTTGTTGTATTTTAAGTCTATATTGATGATAGATAGTAGTATGTAGAGTTTTGCAATTTGATTTGATATTTGAATATTTGATTCGATCAAATTCAAATCAAAGAATGATTTATTTGATCAAATCCAAATTAATGTTTGATTCGATTCGATCAAATTCAAATCAAGTATTTAAATATTTGATTTGATTTGAATCAATAGTAAAGCCATCTCCAAAGCTTTAAGAGTGACTCTTACTAAGAAAACCATAGTAAAAGGTGTCTTCGCAACTTCAGAAATACCTTTTTTACTAAAACAACCATAGTAAAAAGTGCCTTTATGGCCTTTTTACTAAGAAAACCATAGTAAAAAGTGCCTTCGCGACTTCAGAAATACCTTTTTTACTAAGACAACCATAGTAAAAAGCGCCTTCACAGCCTTTTTATTAAGAAAACTATAGTAAAAAGTGCCTATGCGGCTTCAAAAATGCCTTTTTTACTAAGAAACCCATAGTAAAAAGTGCTTCCGCAGCTTCGGAAATGCCTTTTTACTAAGAAAAACATAATAAAAAATACTTTCACAGCTTCAGAGACGTTTTTTACTAAGAAACCTAGTAAAAAATACCTCCGCAACTTCAGAAACGTTTTTTATTAAGAAACCTAGTAAAAAATACTTCCGCAACTTCAGAAACGTTTTTTACTAAAAAAACTAGTAAAAAAACGCCTTTGTAGCTTCAGAAACATTTTTTATTAAAAAAATTAGTAAAAAAACGCCTCCTCAACTTTAGAAATGTTTTTTTACTAATAAAATTATTACGAAGCTGAGATGGCAATTATTACTAGGTTTTCTTAGTAAAACTGAAGTTGCGATGGTGGTTATTACTAAGTTTTCTTAGTAAAACTGAAGCTGTGATAGCGGTTATTACTAAGTTTTCTTAGTAAACTGAAGTTGCGATAGCACTTATTACTAAGTTTTCTTAGTAAACCAAAACTGCAATATCGGTTATTACTAAGTTTTCTTAGTAAAATGAAACTGCAGAGTTATTTTACTACGTTTAGTAATAAAAATTTACCTATTACTAAACTTACTTTATAAAAGCTATCTTTGAAATTTTTTAGTGCAATTACTAATAATTTCTTAATTAAAACTTTAGAATAACTTTATTTTATCGCTGTTTTCGAATTAGTGTGATCAGGTGATTTGTCAATCAATTAAAATTATCTAATCAAAAATATTGAAAACACTGAAAACAACTGGAAATAACCAGAAATAACTGCTTATTGACCAAATTATATGTATTTCACTAATCCTGACTACTTTTTTAATTTAACAATTAATAATGTAATAATAAATACTATGTAAAAAAGAAGTTGAAAGTAATTCTTCGTGTTTAAACTTTTTAAATGATGAAAAGTCTTACTTGATATTACCTTTCAGGTACTTGTTATTCGTGTCAAAAATGTTTATATTGTTTTCATTTACAACAAAATTCATGTAAATGTAAAAAGAGTAAGCAACCGTTAAGAACTAAAAATCCAAAATGTGAACAGCAAATATATTAACGCACTTTTACCCCAAATACATTTTTTCCAAAAGCAAATAAATTTCTATTTGATGCTAATACCGAGTTTGGTTATAATAGTAATTTTGAAAAAAAATTTCTTATACCTTTTGTAGTACTTGTAATAGCAAAATTCAACATTTAAGACAAGAAGATAAAATAACTCAACAAGTTCAAAAAAAATGATTATGAAATGAATGCGTTAGGTATTTCATCAGATGAAAAAGAAGTTGATTATAATAATACTAATGATAATAAAAATAATAATAATAATAAAGAATATATCGATATAGAGGATATAGAGGAAAGGAAGAAAATAGTAGTGATGATAATGATAATGATCTTGAAAAAATAAAAATACAGATAGTTGTTAAAAGTAAAGATATAAAAGTGCTTACAGCAAAAACTCTAATTATTATGCCTGTCAATTATGAGAATATTATGGAAAAAATAAATTTAGAAGTTCAAAAAGTATTGAAAAAAAAAATCAAATTAAAAGATTATACTATTTCATACAAGGCATTTAATGCATATGAACCTTTGAATACATTTGAAAACAAGTCAGACTTTCAAGAATTTATTAATGAATATCAGAAGGTATCTTTATCTGGTAAAAAAATGTCAGTAATAATACTTGTAAAGGGATAAAAAAAAACAAGTCAAGAAACATAAAAAGGCAAAATTTTATTTATTTATTTATATATTATAAAAGTAACAACAATTTGACGTTTAAAATTTTTTTAGAATTCTGATGAAAGTGGATTTTCTTCTTTTGAAGAAGAAATTGAGTTATCACTTACAAGAAAAAAAAATCTTGTGTTATTCATAAAGAAGATTTAACAAATGAAAAAAGAATATGATCTAAAGTTATTACTGCTTTAGATGCAAAATATACAGTGTGGGACAAAAATAACCGGAATTTTTTTTGAGAAATAAAAAGATGCAGATCTCAGCCAAATCAAGTCCAATCCGAACTATGTAAAAAGGAAAATAATCGTAAGGTAAGTGAGTATATAATTTTTTTTTTGTATTACCTAAATATTAAAATTTTTTTTTCATTTCCTCCCCTCAATATCTTCAATTTTTTAAAAAAACCCTAAAAATCAATTAATTAGAAACGATGACCTCCAGACAAGAAACTAACCGTCAAGCGATCTTACAATTATGGAATCAGGGTATTCAGAAGGCTAGGGAAATCCATCAACGCACTGGAATTTCCCTCACGACTGTATACGATAACCTTACCAAGCTTCGTGAGTCTGGGACGATTCAGCGTATAGAAGGAAGTGGTCGCCCAAAAAAGATTATGGCTAATGCATCAAGAGCATTAGCCCAATTTATCCGCCGGGATTCTTCTATTTCAACAAGGATCCTATCAACGAGGTTGTCATTGAAAGGGGTAGATGTGTCTTATAGGACAGTAGGAAGGCATTTAGCCGAAATTGGATACCAAAAAGACCTTCCAAGAGCAACGCCGATGCTGACCGCGATCCATAAATGTAAACGGGTAGAATGTGCCCAAAATCATCTTAATGATGATTGGGATAAAACTCTGTTTTCAGATGAGACTGCCTTTTAACTGTTCCAGAATACTGTAGAGCGCTGGCATAAAGGACAATGACCAATACGTCCTATGCCAAAAAATCGAACAAAAATCTTTGCATGAGGAGGATTTTGTGTAAAATAAAAAATAAGTTTATATTGTTTTTCTCAAATAATGAATGCTGAATTTTATGTAAACATATTCCATAGCCACCTTCCAGAGATTGAAGACTTGTTAGGAGATGATTGGCGTTTTCAGCAAGACAATGATCTGAAACACACCAGCAATCATGCCAAAAAATTTCTTCGGGAAAATTTTCCTGAAGTTATTGACTGGCCTTCTAACAGTCCGGACCTAAATCCGATAGAAAACCTTTGGAGTATTGTTAAAAGGAATGTGGAGAAGAAAATGCCAAAGAATACTGATGATTTGCGCCGATATATGATCAAAGAATGGGACGATATTCCAGAATCGACCCTAATTGGGTTAGTAGGATCAATGAAACGCCGATGTGAACTTATTATAGAAAATAATGGTGAACGAATTCCGTTCTAAAAAAAATATTAATAAAATTAGCTAGTTTTTAGCTTCAAATATATATAAATTTTATTTAGTTGGTGTCGTTAGTTTTTGCATAATGTGTATTTAAAAAATTCCGGTTTTTTTTGTCCCACACTGTAAATGTGATATACATAAAACATCATATTACATTCAAGATAATTAGCATTTATAACTCAATCCTGCAAGATTACAACTTTGGGCTTGTGAAATAGTATGATTACTAAATATAACTTTGTATTTTATTAATTATAGATTCAAATAAAAAAATTCATTATTGATTTTATTTAGATAAACAAAGGAGCAACTTACGAAATATCCCCATCCTATCCAACCTTTGATATAAAATCAGGTGTATTTGTTAATAAAAATAATTTGACAACAACTACAAATACCTTCTGCTGTTACTCCCATTATTATCTAATTACCACCACAATTTTATCAACAGTAATCAACATCATGCATTTCTAATAATACAAATACTCAATTATCAGCATCACCAAATACATTTTCTTTAATTGGTGAATTTCTCAATAATTTAGACCAAAAGTATAATTCTAATATATATACTAGCTTTGAAGAGGCTTTTCTTGATGAAGAAATTACTGTTAATGTTATAAAAGATTTATCGGATGAGCAATTACAAAAATTAGGTATAATAAAAATTGGTTGGCAAAAAAATATCAACCAAGAGCCCAACGATTTTGAAATGTATAAATAATATAATAAAAATTTTATATTGCTTGATTGTTGCTAAATATAACTTGTGTTTTTTATTTTTATTTTTTTCAAATAAAATAAAATTGATTTACAAATAAATTTTCTAATAAATCTAATTGTTCTAATTCTAAACATAAATTGATTCTTCAAAATATGATTTTATCATTTAAGGAGTTATTTGATTATATGCAACCAATAATGCATATATGGGATTATTACAAGCTTTCATAAAATTATGATTATGTCTAATCCATGATTTGACAGTTGAGAATGCAGTTTCAATGGGATTATAATCAGGGGAGATAGGAGGAAAAAAAACAATACGATATCCTAATCCTACCAACAATGCTATTAACTCATTATCATGATAAATTCTAGCATTATCCATTACAATAACACTATTGTCTCCTAGATATGAATTTATTATTATTACCTAAAAATAAAAATTCTGTAAATATTATCAGTGATAGTATAAAGTAAAAATAAATAAAATAGTTATTACTTACCACTTGACCAAGAACAAAATCAACAAATTTTTTTTATCACAAGACCCTTCAAATATATCAACAGCAACAAACCCTTCTATTGTAAGTGCAGGTAAAATGGTATATTGTTTTCCACGTACAAAAACCACTTTTTTTTGAGCAGATGTATTTCTAAGTGAATATCTATATAATTGAGACAAACTTCTTTTATATTTGGCACTTTCATCCAAAAAATAGTTGATTTCGTGTATAATATTCACCAATTGTAGCTAAATAGTATGCATATACAATTTCATTCCTTTCTAATGCTGCTTTTTGTAACTTTATATCAAAATAAAAATTTTTTTAGATAATCTATAACAAATATTCATTATATTATAAATAGAGTATCATACCTTTTTTCGAGTAATTCCCAAATAGTGAAGTGAACGCCAAAGTGCTGCAATAGACGCTCTTTTTCTGTTAAACATTCCATTTCATATACTAACTCATCCAAATACCAATCTACCTTTTCTTTAATAAGATTTTGAAGGATAATTAGATTTTCTCTGCTAAATATCTTTCTTCGACCAGGAATACCTTTAAAAGAATTTTTAACATATATCTAACGGTTATATCACTTTTTATCTTATTTACAACACCTTTACTCATATGCAATGTGTTGGCAATTTCTGTAGTTGGTAAACCTTCGGTATGAAGGTAAATAATATGCCAGCATAAATCTTCACTAAATTCTCAAGGCATAATTATATTCAACTACAAAAATAAGAAAACTTTTATTATAAATTTACATTGGAATCTGAAATTTTTAGGAATTGTTAAGGAATCGTTAGGAATCAGTACTCACCAATTTATATGCTATTGGTGAAAATGCAAAATAAAACATGAAAAAAATACAATAAAAGTGATACAATAGTGACTTAGCATTACACAGATCAAATATTATCTACAGTCATACCTTTCTATAGCGAATTTTTATATAACGAATTTTTTGGATAACTATATTAAATTTACCCTCGTTATAACGAACTAGCCAATCAAATTCTTTAAAAAATTCACTATAGCTCTATAGCGAAGTTGAAGTTCAGGACATAAAATTCGTTATATCAAAGGTTGACTGTATATTTTAAGTGTATATGTAAAGTTATTTTTGGAATTCCAAAGTTAATATTTTTATTTAAATAGAAAATTATTGCCAATCACACTAATTTGAAAATGGCGATAATATATCATTGTAAAAATTAAAAAAATTATATTTGATTTGATTTGATTTGATTTGATTCGATCAAATTCAAATTGATTCAAATTGATTCAATCAAATATTTGAGTTTGATTTGATTTGATTTGATTTGATTTGATTTGAAAAAATCAAATCAAATTTAAATTGCTTAAATATTTGATTTGATTCAATTTTGAGGAACCCTATCTATATTGAATAATTGAGCTGTAAATCATGATGCTTACATTTTCACTTACATTCAATTAAATTATTCAATCTTTGAGACTTTCATTCACTAGATGCTATTCAACTAGGTGTTAACTCTTTAAAATGATAAAACATTTTAAAACTATTGTGATTTTGCTAGGTTAATATATAAATTGAAACTAAATAAATAAACTATATAGAAATAAATATTTAATAATTAGGGGTGCTAATTCTACTAAAGGTTTTGTCGAAAGTTGAAGAATAGATAGGAGTAATAATTGATGCAAAAGGTCTAAATATTTCATCCAATTCATTCTTAATCCAATCATGTACTTAAGGGTTTTTAGTTGGTTTCAATAATTCGACTGTTGCAAGACAAGCATTATCATTTCGTTGTACTTTTTCTGATATATCCTAGAATACTTCATTGATCAGAGTTTTGAATACCATTTCAGGATGTATTTACTCAAGGTTGCCTACAATCCCTATAAGAAATTTATATACGGAATTGTATACGGTGTTACGTCCGATTTGTAACTTAAATAAAATTCTCAAAATAAATAATGCTAAGACTAAACTCAGGGAATCACAACGAAGATTCTTAGTAAACGTCAAAG